TTGGGAAATCCGTCTAGAAATCTAGGTGAATTCAGTGTTTGACCTTCAAACTTATTCCTTATTTATTATATTAGTTTTCGTTTTTGGCTCCTTTTTGGGCGTGTTGTTTTTTCGGTGGCTTTTAATCCTGCAATATTTTCAGGTGTATTCACTACTACCATTAAAGTGTAATTCGCACCTCATTTGAACAATTGATTTTTTCTCAATTCAGAGTGAAGCGTTAGATATTAATGAGTATTCATTTTGTTTGTTCACTATACCCAAAGATTTTGACATTTTTTTCTGATTGATGGATTTTTGGTTGTTCTCTTACATAGCTCTTCTTTTGTTAACTCTTTCTTACTATCCCTCTGATCTTGGGAAAGAGTCGTTTGTGTACCCTTTTGCAGAACAATATCTAATATAGCTGTCTAGGTCTAGGATTATGTGAGTGATTTATGTGCGTCGGTGTCGCAGATGTTAGGACTCTCTCCTACAATTCACATGATCCGAGGTTCGATCCCCTATCGCCACACACGTGCTTTCAAATGGCTGGTCTGCAAACTTTGGGCTGGCTATGTCACATGCTGAAATTCCATACTTGTACTAAAAATACGGTGTGGAATCAAGCTATAATAAAAAATTTTAAAAATTATCGATGAAATAAGACTGACCGGAGCATATGTAATGTAATATAATTAATATTCCCCTGGGTTCCCAGTGAATCATAGAGCTTCAGAGGGACATATCCTCTTCACTTAGTTTTCTACAGTCCTTTTTAGCTGGCTCCATGATTGCCCATAAGTTTTTATTTCCTCTTCACATGATCTCCTCCACGTCACCCTCGGACTCAGGTCCAACTCGTTATCTTCAATTCGGGTTCCAGTTTAAGGCCTGGAATGTGGTACCACTCAACGTCCCTCCTGGTGTGTATCTAACTGATTGCCATATACATTGGGCCACACGTCCTTGGCTGGTTCGTTGACAGAGATCCTTGCTGCTAGTTCTTTCTGACAGACTATCTGATCTTCGGCATCCAGTGAGGAAGAGGTTTTTGATAAAATTTTCCGGCCTATTTGAAAGGCCTAATGTTTATTTCGATAAAATACATTGAACATTAACAGAATAAGAAACGTTGAATTCACTTCACTAGTTGCAAGATCATACCATCGATTTTTATACTTATTTATGTATCAAATAGGCTACACAAAGTGCTTTTTCTGCTCGTGTTTCTTCCAAAGCGGCTTTTCCAATGGCATTTAAATAATTATGGATTATTTCAACACGTTACCCTACGTACCACTATCTGTTTATAAATCACACACAGCACACTATTGAACAAGTGGTACCAAGTTCTTAGAAGACATCTTAAAGTAACTAAAGTTGGAATTACAGAGGAAACAAGAATTTCTTCAGAAATGTAGGTACATTTTACTGAGGAGTTCTCAATATTACTAAAAGCAGGTGCAGCGATTATAACACTTTTAGTTACTATTTTTCTATTTTGCAACGTCATAACGCTTTAAAGAAGTTTAAAGGTAAACTGTGTTAACTTCCACCATAAAATGCAAATTGAGTTCATGCAATTTCTTATTGATTACTGCAATATAACTAATACAAGATTCGATGAACTAGGATATTGAATAGTATCAAGATTTTAAATCTGTTCGACCACATCCAGTAGTCGTAACTTCGTCTTAAAATGGTGATTATACTCGTACAAATCGTGACGATTGGCTAAGTTCGTCAAACATTCACCCTCCAACCAATAGTTCTCGAGTATAAATTCCGCTCCATCCAATTCGGTACAAGCAACTCGGCATTATTTTTAATTTTCACACAAGAAGTGGGTTAAATAAAAAGCCTGTTTCGGGTCAATGGGTTGCAACAAATTATATGACCTATTACAGTAGTTTTCATATGGTAAAATTTATCGTATGAAATATGTTTCAAGGTCTTACTCATTTGTGCTGTGCTGACTAGTTGCACTGCCTTTATATACAGTAAGCAATTTTAAAATCACACCTGGAGATTTCATGCCTCTTCAAACTTCTTTCTTTAATCCGATTCCAAATTAAATCTTTGCATAAAGACACAGTATGCGCGGTTCCTTTTAACTGTGCATAGTTCCCATCTTATAGATGAACAGAGTTGGCTCTGCCTGAGCAGGTTAATTCAATAACCCGATAACTGATTACAGCCACCTCTACAATTACTCCTACTTTTATCAATTCTGCTCCTTTCTTTCTCTCTTTCTCCCCGTCTATCAAGAGAGGATACAAGTTATGGTAAAACAGAGTCACCTCCACCCCGTTTCTGTTTCCTCCCACACCAAAGGACAGAACGGAAGTGGTTAATTACAACTTGAATTTCTTCAAGTATTTGATCTTAAATGATTTTGCATTTCGTGCCTAGAGAAATGCTGTAACCGTGTTGTTTCATCCATCTGGAATATCCACTGTGACATTAGCTATGCTATGCACGAAAACACCTGGCGACAGCCTTCATCCTCACCCTGTCTAACAACTCCATATTTAATAATTTCTGTTTAAACAAGTGTTGGTTTGCGGGGTTATATATATATATATATATATATATATATATATATATATGGTGACATCGCTAGTGACTTGCCACAGGACGGAGTTTCCTGAAGTTCTAGTGAGAAGTCGTGACAAGTAAGGTCCAACCAGTCACGTTTGAGGATGGATGTTCCACCGACGACATTAGTTAAAGGGCGCGCTAAATCACGAATTGCTAGAATTTATGCACTGGCCATTGAGGAGTCGGGTCCCAGTGACTGAATGATATACGAGCTCGCCTTGTAACCAGAAGGTCCTGGGTTCAAACCTCGGCAGGTGCGTACTGATGAAGAGTTCCAAACCAGGATGACGAGATAGCTGTCCAGTACTCCCAGGTTTTCCAGTGGTTCTCTAACTGATGTCAACTCATGATGAAATCCTCCAGCCAATCAGATAAATTTATCACAAGAACACATGAGGTGGTCGCTATCTAAATTTCAGCATCTTCCCAGTCAGCTATAGATAACGTCGATGAAGATGCTGTTCTGGTGAGACAAATATGTTCAGTATATAAATTAGTTGGTGAATTCATGTTACCTGAAAAATGCCTGAAAGAAGCTGACTAACCATAAGGTTTCATCTACAAATATGGTGGGGAGTGTGGCAATTCAAATGTTATTAAAAACAACAAAGACACCGATTCTCATTCAACTTTACTTCAAAGGTGATGATATTATGCGGATGATAAATCAATGCTTAAGTACAGTACTAACCAGGACATATCCGCAGAAAAATTAGTCTCTTTACTCGAAACATCCTGCTCAGTGGCACAGTCAAAATCGACAAGCACCCCTCATATGTTACTTCCAATCATACATGTCAATTCACGTGTAACTGTGGGAACAATTATATTTGGAGGATAGAAAGACTGGCCTATGTCAGATTCTTTGGACATGTACTGAAAAGCCCTCGATTAGACAAACCAAACAGTTTGAACTCGTCAGTTACCAAGCTCCTGATAGACTCAGGACACCACGTGGACACATTTGCACCATTCAAAATAATCAACAGATAAAACAGCCCGAGTGTTCTTCAGTTTTCTGAAGCTATAGCAATGAATTAAAAGTCAATCTGAAAGAAGAATATTCTTTCCAATAATTCCTTTTCAGGTTCTTACAATTATAAAATATAATATTTGTGGTCGTTACAATAAAGGCCACTTATGCGGTGGATACATTTTTAACGTGTCAAAATACATAGCCGTATTTGTGTGACAAACGTGCTAGGCTAAAATCGATTACAAAGTATTGTAAAATGGGACGCAGTGGTGGTGATTAGTCATAACAGATTAGTAGTGTGGGGTAGGTAAACTGACAAGTTAGTTCAAGGTCATAAAAGGTGTCAGGTGAGTGGCTAGTACAACGTGGTCTGTGTTAAACAGGAGATAGTAAGACTGCAATGAGAGGTTCCTAATGAAATAGAGAATGTGTGAACTGAAACAGGTGGAGGCGTATGTTGAGAAAAGAGATAATATCACTAATAATAAGTCCGCATAAATGATAAATTCGATTGTATTGAGGGAATGTTTGCATGATAGGCATAAATTATGGTGAATAATAGTAATAAGAATAATTTTAATAATAATATTTGTAATAATAAACAAAGGAAAAAAACCAAAAGGATTAAGGGTAAGAAGCACTCTTGGAGAGAAGAAGAATCATCAATCCAAGTTTGGCCACGGTAGGAACAGCGTCTGGACATGTTCTTTTTGGATACAGAGTTTGGTGATCAGGATCCATACATAAACGAAAGATAACATGGAATCACGTAAGAATTCAACAGAAATACAAAAGTTGTGCAGGCTTTGAAAAAACAATCAAGCCAGTAGAAATCAACAAGTTTGTTACCATGATAGCTGAAGTAGTTAGATAATTTTCTTTTGTGTGCAGAGCTCCAGCTTCCTTGGAACTTCAGAAATGCAAAGGAGACAAAAGCAGGTTATTCTTCACTTTGTAGACTACTTTGATGGAGTTGTTTGATGGGTATAAACGACCAATGCCTACATGGTGTTTAATTAACGCACTTCTTATAGAGCCATAACCACCTTTCTGCAGCCATGCTGCATGGTTTTCTTGAACCCTTTTAGACCGAATATGCGTCTAAAGAACAACATAACCGGCTCTGTAGGGACGGGTGAACTGATATATGCACACAGGAGTGGCCAGATTTGAGATCTTGTCCTTCAGACTTCTGCAGATCAGTCTAACACCTGAGAGCACTATCCTTAGCGTTGCCGTGACGAATATCCTTCCTAATGACAAAGCTGTCCTCTTAAGGATATTGCAGCTTAAATATCCCTTAAAATCCAGGTTCATTTAAAGTTTCTTTTTCTTCAAACTGCCTGAAAACTTAAAGGAAGACATTTTTAAAGCATATCTTTAAAAAACCATCTATCGGATCACTAACTAGATGTATTCACACTGTTTTACATACATTTAGAAAATGCAAGTAAAAAATGTTTAGAATCAGGAAATTGGTCCTCTCAGTCGAATTACAGTCCATGTGTATTAACCAGTAATTCATCAACTATAGTAAGTTTGTAATTTATGTTATATTTTTACTCGTCATTTTAATACCTATAGTATTTCAGACTAAATTTATAGGGATTGTTTATGCCAAGTGACTAATGAATCAGATAAACAATATTCCGTATTCTTTTGATGTATGTACTCTTAATAAATCTTTTATTTACTCTCCCTCAAATGTCATGCTTCCCAGCATCACTAGTGTTAATAATATCCCCTTTCTAGGCTTTATCACAAAAGTGCCTCAAGTCTCTAAACCCTTCCCAGAGCTTAGGTCCAGATTATGTACCTAGTATTATTTTTACAAAATGTTCTGATATTCTGTGTCACCCTCTCACTGATCTATTTAACAAATCTTCTACAGCCTGAAAGACACATTCTAGTTCGCTAAACAATTAGAGGATCTAAATATCTCAAATAAATTTATGGTGTCCTTTGACGTATCTTCACTGTTTACAAAGATCCCATTGGAGAAAACAATACAAATTACATGTCAACATGCCGAACTTCTTCCTCTGCCCAAGAACGAACTCAAACAACTTTTACTTATGTGTACCAAAGACGTACAGTTCCAGTTCAACAACACTCTATACCGCCAAATTGACGGAGTCGCCATGGGAAGCCCCCTGGGTCCGATTCTGGCAGATATTTTTATGGCTAGTCTAGAACAAACAAGGTTAAAATCCTCAATCAGCCAGACAAACTTCTATACCAGGTATGTCGATGACACCTTCGTTATCTGTAATTCTGTCAATGATGCATCTCAAGTATTAGAAGTCTTGAACAGCGCCCACCCTAATATTAAATTTACAATGGAGTATGAAAAAGAAGAGAAGTTCCATTTCCTGGACTTGGGTATCCAATGGGATAAAGACGGCAAAATCATAAGATATATACAGAGAAAAGAGACCTGGAGGGCGGTTTATCTTAACTTCAAAAGCTTCGGCCCTATAAGTTACAAAAAGGGATTGGTGAGAACATTATTTGATCGTGTGAGGAAACTGTGTTCAGAAGAAAAGATTGAGGAAGAGCTATCCATTGTGGAGAAATACCTACGCGACAACGGTTACCCACAAGAGTTCATCGACAAGTATGGGAGACGTCATGTTGAAAAAGTGAAAAGCAGCACAGTAGATAAAAAGCCTATCTTTCTGCAGTTTGCATTCAAAGAATAAGATGCAGACTGAACACTGCCATGAAGAGAACATATCCAGCCGCCAAGCTTGTATGTGTTTATCAAACAACTAGTTGTTTGAGACAATCAAAAGTGGACAAATACCCACCTCATGTTACCTCCAACTGTGTCTACCAATTTACATGTACGTGCTAAAGCAGTTACATTGGAAGAACAGAGAGAAGGGTTAGTGTCCGCATATATGAACACATACCAAAGAACTTGAGACTGAAAGGTCCGCAAGCATTAAACAGTGCTACTGCTCGTCATCTATTGGACACTGGTCATATTGTAAACAACCTGAAGTCGTTTAAAATAATCAACAAGCAAAAGAAACCCAGCTTGCTACGCTTTGCCGAAGCGATTGCCATCAAACGACTTAAACCAAATCTTTGTACGCAGAAAGAGACAGTGGTGAATCTTGCACTGCCCTGGTGATAACAAAAATATATACAACCTTGATGAGTCACCTTTTTCATGTTTAGAAAACTCTACTCTCTCATCTAAACATGACTCACCCTACCTTGTTTCTTTTCTTTCCTTATTTCTATTGGCTATTAGATAAGATGCCTTCTTTAGTTACGCAATCTACTTTTTTGTTATGCTCTTTCTTGCTAAACCTTGTTTATATATATATATATATATATAACCCCGTTTTTTGTTTCCAAGCCTAATTGTCTAATTATTCTATAAAAAGTCAGTGTTTGTAACTCCTAATCAGTTAAATCATTCCGGATTAATGTTACTTTTAATTCCTACCAATTACTCCTTATGATCTTGGAAAAGTATGTTCATATCTTTAATGTAATTCATAATTTTTAACGTTCAGGTTGTAACCAGTTGAGAAGAATCCTCGAAACAATAAAAGATGAGTTCATATTATCCTGGTACAATTGTTGTTCTTGCTTTGTTCAGATCTTTTTCTGATAATATTGTGCTTGCCGTTTGGAAGGACACTAAAGTTGTAGCCATACCTAAATCATCTACTGCAGCATGTGTCAAATTTAGACCCATCGCTAATACCTCTCCTTTTTTGAAAACTATGGAGAAATTACTTTCACCTAGTCTTGTACCTTCGCTTAAATGCTTTATTGACCCCAAACCATTTACCTATAAGCATAGTAGAAGCACTTAAGATGAGGCTGCCGTCTTATATCATAACATTGCTTCCAGTCTAGACAAGGGGGCTAAATTTCTTCGTTGTGCCTTCCTAGACTACACATCTGCTTTTGACTCAGTCCCTAGGGACATCTTATTAAATAAACTTGTTGCTAGTCAAACAGAATGTTGGGCTGTTAAGTGGTTACATTCCTATTTCTCAGAAAGAAGGCAGCACACCGTGTATAAAGGGAAGTCATCTAATTCATTGCCTATTGAAGCTGGTGTCCTTCAAGTCGCTTACCTTTCTCCTATTTTTTTTTCTTTTTATTCAACTCGCCTCACTCTGATGAAATAAACTTTGTGAAGTACGCTGATGACTTAACAGTTTCAATGCCTGTTAACTCCCAGGTAGATTGTACCAGAATAAATAGCTTTCTGTCAAAAGTCAGTAAATGGCCTGAGTCTAACGGTCTAAAACTGAATCCTTCTAAATGTCAAACTGTTAATTTCAGCTTGAGATGTAAAAGACAGTTAAAAGAAGTCATCGATTCTCATGACAGTTGTAAGATTGACGACAATGATACAGGAATTAAATCATGATGTTATATAATCAGATATAAGATGTTATCCCACCCGATCACTGGCCTGTCGCGCCATGTCATTCAACTGCCTCGTGAACCTAAATCCGTTCCATTCTACTTTCTCCTATGTATTTGTTGAGCGATCGGCTCTCGTTTGGTGTGTTGTCAGAGTTTCTCTCTACTAATTCTTTCTCTCCTGCCATTTGATCTTCTTTAAACACAATAAATTGTCCTAGCCACCAAAGGAATATTCCCATGAATGGATCACTTGAACTGTATATTGCAGGTAATAATTACGTAAAAAAGTAAACGTCAATTGGGTAGAAACTGAAATAAAATTAAATAAGTAAATCGAATAACGTGTTGCAACTGACTTGATTGGATAAAATACAACCAAGACTCAACAATGGTCAAGTAAGTGACAGGGATAATAATGGGTGGAAATCCGAATACTCAACCATCTTCTTATGACGATATGTCTGAAATCTGGAGCCCATCTGGCTGAAATATACTCTGAAATTATGGACTGCTGAAAGTTCGCGCTGCCACACCTCTTTGTCCCTTTCTGTACATGACAAATTCATCTTATCATTGCACTGCCCAGTGATTGTTAAATCTAGTGGAACATATTACAAGTCACGTTTTTCTGCCAGTCACTACGAGATTCCTCTGACTCTGTTAATTTCATTGAATATACCAACGTTTCTGAACAGATCGAACCGCCACTAGATGTAGTCTAATTGTTAAAGTACGTCGTACTAACTGAAACAAATAACTACATTAGCGAACATATTGATTGAAAGGGAATACAAACTGCAATATCTATTTATGCACTTCCGGCACTCCGAAGTGTCGGGGAATGTGTGAGTTAGATGGTTTCAGGGATTCAGATATGTCGACATCGGTGAACGTTTGAGTATTCAGAATTCTATGCCTTATTAAATCTGTTCGCAAATTTATTTTTCAAAATTAGTTTTACTCTCCTGAATCAAGTCAGTTATCTCACGTATCTCCACTTGCTTATTCGATTTTATATCACGTTAAATCAGGTTGACGCCTTTGGGCGGCCTGCTTTAATCTTGGGCTACCAAAATTTCCATCTTATATATTGCACCTATTTCCTCGGATTTATTTCATTTTAAGCATTCAATTATGTGTTTTAATCTTATTGTTTACTCTCGCGGTTTTTTAAAACGTTTCCAACCGGCTGATTTACTAGTTTCTTATAAACTTAAGAAAAACCTTCATGGTGGATGGCAACAAGCTTCAAAGAGTACTCCAATGCATTTGATGTCTGTTCCTGTGATTATGAGCACAAATTACAGATCTTTAGCAAACAAGATTAATTACTTGCATTCTCCATTATACTCAAATATATATTGTAATACTGGTGTAATAACTCTTCAAGAAACTTGGCTCTACGATTCATATGACAATAATTTAGTCTCCTTAAGTGGTTTCACAACGTACAGACAAAACCGATGCAGCTCAAAGAAGAAGAGAGGTGGTAATGTCGCCACTTTTATAAACTATCAGTGGTCTACTGCCAACAGCGTCTGCTTCAAATTCTCAAATGACAATATTGATTGTATAACTGTTAAATGTCGACCTAAACACTTATCTAAGTATAGCTTCATTATCGTCACAAATATCTATGTCCCTCGGAACTATCGATCTTTGCTGACGAATTCACTATTTTTGCTGCTGCTTCGTTTAATAACTCCTTGTCTGTAGTGACTGGTGACTTCAACTCCTGCGACTACAGTTTTGTTACATTGCTGGGTCATGAAAATGTTGTTAATTTCCCAACTCGACAAGATACCTCACTTGATTTAGTATTTATAAATGATTGTGGAATATACGAAGCTCGTAAAAGAGCTCCGCTCTTCAATTCTGATCACTGCATTGTACGAGTTCTACCCAAAATTTACGGAAAGTTACACAGTAAAACCTTCTCAGACTTGTCCAAGAAAGTTGTTCGCAGATGTTACTCAAATGAGAATGTATTTTTTGGCTGTTAACTTCCAGGTAGATTGTACCAGAATAAATAGCTTTCTGTCAAAAGTCAGTAAATGGTCTGAGTCTAACGGTCTAAAACTGAATCCTTCTAAATGTCAAACTGTTAATTTCAGCTTAAGATGTAAAAGACAGTTAAAAGAAGTCATCGATTCTCATGACAGTTGTAAGACTGACGACAATGATATAGGAATCAAATCAGAAATGAAGTATCTTGGACTTATTCTCTCATCTGATCTCTCCTGGTCTTTGCATGTCTTAGTGATCTCCAGTAAAATATTCCGCCTGATATTTTACACTAAGAATTTAAGGCACTCGGGTATAACTCAATCCCTCCTCTTACACTTCATAAACTCTTGCATCCTACCTATTCTTCTTTATTGTTCATCCTTATTCTTTCCTGGTTTGCTTGAAAAGGACTATGTCACAATTCATCGAATGCTGAAGACTGTCAGTAGGGTGAGTGGTGTCCCAGTGGACCGCATAGTTGACATCGTTGTCGATAGGCACTTGACTTCGTGCAATAAATTTGCTAGGGGGATTTTGTCTGACTTGGAGCTTCCGCTTTACCCTCAGCTTTCACCTTGCATCTCCTCAGGTAGAAGAAGAAGTAACTTCAGAAAACTGTATGCTCGCACGTCTAAGTATAGAAATTCTATGATACCGTACTTGGCACGTATTTTATGTGATGAAAATAGTGTCAGGCAAGAATTAACTAACCTTTTTCATCTAGTAATTTCCTCCATCCATCCTTATATACCTTCAAGTTTTACTTTTATTATTTCTATTATATTTATGGTCAGTCCTGTTGCTTCTTTGGTTTAATCTCATAATTGCAAACACCAACTTCTCTCTATGACTGCTGTAATCTTTGTTTTTCCCCTCACCATATCATGTAAAGAGAACATTATACTCAATACTTCTAAACATTCTAGGATTTCTTTACCGCATCGACAATTCTGTGTGAAACAAGCCCACGGCAATTTTCACTTGTATTCTTATTATTATTACCCTGGCTGTTATCATTATTATTGTTTTCATTTTATAAGCTGCATGTTTTTGACATTACCCCTATTGTAAATGTGGAAGATTTTCTGAGTGATTAATTTTCATTTATCATCTGAGGAAATTAGATGCAATATTGTGATTAATGCTGAAAATTCCATTCTGTATCACATGTACTGTTTTTGGAATAAAGTAAATCATTATTATTATATTAAGTGTTGCTTTATAGGAATTTGATTGATTTCAAGTAAGATTACGAATGGACTTCTCTCAGAGAACTGCTGAAAACCAAAAAGAATCTGACAGGTGTTGAGTCCTCTTTTGGAACTCGTCATTAATATCCACGGTTAACTCCACCAAGCATTGAAACAAGAATTCGCTGAAGTTAGGATTGATAGGTCACTGTATTCCGTTCCACTGCGTGAGTAACCGACGAGGTCACCTCGTGACCTGAGGGTAGTGGGTTTGGTACTCTAATAGAAACCAATCCGTTATCAGACTTGATTAATAATACAGAGATAACTTTGGCAATAATGTATCAACAGAATAATCCCTGTGATCTAGCTGATGAAAACAGTCTTGCAGTTCATCTCACATCTGTAAAACAAACTGACATATCGACTTCACTCATCTTCTGATTAGCTAACAACTGTTTTAAAACAGATTTCCTAAGCATTCAGTCAGAGACCTGGGATCAAATGGAATCAACTGATTTACAAATAACAAAAGTTAGTTTTATCAGTGGCAGTGAGCAATGGTTGTCTTTTATCATAAATTTGAAATGTTTCGTTACTTAAAGCTGGCTGAATGGTTGAATGCCAGAAATACTGCTACGGACTATCTAAATGCATAATGATATATACTACTGATTGACTGATATCAGTGGTACTTGCTAACCAGATTGAAATGATCTAAACACCGGATTGCCGTTCGTCACTGTTGTACCTGATATGACTCAGCGCTCAGAAATCTGGATCAGTTTAGGGTACCCCCGGTTTCTGGTTAGCTGCTTGAGAAAAACTGGTAATGCTATAAATCAAATTCTCAATCTGCGACTAAAACAGCTCGAGGTAAAGTTTTATCACAGTTTCCTTTGAGAATGAAATTACTCAGATTACAAATATGATGTTATTACTTTGATCTAGCTTACGATCACACCTCATTAGTGGGCGTGGTATACAACTACTCACCTCAATCAGTCAGTACTATATGGTAGCATGCATTTGTACTTACTTTGTTGATTATTATTATGTATGATATTAGGAAGATCACATATTGTGACTTGAATAATTTCCGCTTCCAAAGGAAGCTGTAGTATTGAAATTTCACCTCGAATTGCAAATTTGATTTAAAGCTTGCATAGAATCATAGATTAATTTTTAATTTTCCTTCACGTTCCCAGTGGAACATAGGGCTCCAAGCTAGTGGCTTAAAGTTTCTGTAGCAGTGTTTAATTTTTACAGGATGGGGTTGCTAGCCTCATGCTCAACCTTTCCTCTTTACCAGGATTATTTCTGGCTCAGTGGGGTAAAGGGGTGCGCCGGCCGGGGGTCGATCCCCGGACCATATGCATAGTCGGCAAACATCCTAACCGCTATACCACCGATGCATAGAATCATAGATGCACACTCCTAATCAGTCGCAAACTAAGACGAAACAGCTAAAATCGTCTATCCCGTTGCCTAATGTTATTTTGATATGTTTACATTTTTGATAAAAACTACATTTCAGTCAAACAGCTAACCAGAGATTTGTTGAGAAAAAAATGCCAGAAACTTGATCTCAATATGTTTTCATCAAAATCACTCGAAATAACACATTCATTTCTTCTTAACAGCAAATCCTAATACTATTGATTAATTTAACCAGTATTTCCCCATTTTCTCTTTTCTTTACCGAAATCATTTAGGAAGTAACTATGGCTTTACGTTGTATATTTCTAACCGGATATTCCGTTTCTTGTGGATGTCTGTGCCTGGCTCTCGTCATTTTCTACATTTTTAAGTAAGTAAGGATATCAGTATATATATATATATATATATATATATATATATAAGAAACAGTATTCTTTACATTATTGCAAACTCAGACTATGCAAAACAACAAAGGTCAGTATGGTGATCTTAGAGCTGCAGAAGACATACCACAAGTCGTTTCCCACTTGGTCTATGAACCAGACTTTCGGTCGTAAGGTAGTTTTAAAAGTAATGTCATCAGATTTGTATTCGATAATGTCATCCAGTCAGTAGATATTTTGGTTACCATAATCTATAGAGACCGGAGAGAACAACCATCATGATAACTTTAATCAATCTCTACCAACCAATCAGATGAGTCTATAGTGAAAAAGCGTAGTTTGAATTTTGTACAGAAATGAAATATAGTGTTACAAAATATAGTTATACAGGGCAATTTTTTGTATGTATTCTCAGAATATTTCCTAATTCCTTTTTGGAGTCTTCATTGATAGGCCAAACCAACTTCTGTATGTAAATTCACCCAGATAACTCTATATGATGCTGTTTTGTGACCCATCCTCTTCGACATTTCACCCATGAACTTGAAAAAAAAATGGACGACATACCTTCTACGACAGTCTTGAAATCTGTACACATACCCATCAAAAGTCGCTGCATATCTCTTTAAAGACATTACTTCTCCACACCTACATTTTTTATTCCTTCTTATGAGCCTATTATCCAGATAGTACTCCATCTGGATGGAATCTGTAACGTCATTCGTGTATTGTATCCATTTTTTCACGTGTTTTCTATTCGCCCATCTGACTGGTTGACTAAACTCATCATAGTGTCATTTCAGTTGAGTTGATATGGCTTAGAGTGGCCTATAGTTTAAATATACTAAATTGTAATTTATTGGTCATCTGAAGTAAGCGTAATAATAATAAGATGTAATTTCTGGTCTTAATGCCTCTCTCTCGAACAGTAAATTTTTGCCTTCTAGGTTAGTCTTTTGTATCTTCTAAGTGTAGGGACAGCGTTCAAGTGATCGGTCATATACTGATGTATCAACATACATCAGTAACAGGTAACAGTAAGAGCCAACCGAAATCGACTATTACCTGAGACATAACATTTTGGCGGCGGAGTTGAAGTAATTCCTATCTGCTGTTGCTATTTTTGTTGTTGTTACTAAATTAAGGAAACAGTAGGTTCAGAAGCAAACCTGATTATGCTATTCACGAACACTACATAAATCTTGTTTGTCACTACCTGTTATCCCAGAATACGTGATCACGCATGCGCGTCTTGTAGATCCTGAAGCTACAGCTTTCTGGCACCATTTAGGATCATTCTGACGCACATTTCGAACGAACTTCTCTTTGTATGCTGATTGATACAAAGTCCTGAGCTGATCTTTGTAGTAATCCATGCTGTCGCCTTAATTCACTGGTCGCTGCTACTCTACCACCAACTCTTTCAACATCTTTTGCAGTACGCTTACAGAAAGCTAAATTAGCCCTCTCTCTAGCAGTCATAAAATGAATTGATGGTCTAGATCGTACTGAATCAAAGTCATGGTAGTATAGATAAGGATTAGGTGGGATTCTCTGTATGAGACATGAACGCATCGTCTTATTTCTAACACCACCACTATCAGCTAACATCTGTTCAGAAGCCACTACGTACACCATCTTTATAGCAATCGAATTCGTAGCCGTTCTCATGCTTCCATTAACATGATGAGCAAAACCACTGGATACACCAACTGCTACCATAGTCATATATCTACTGACCTTTAAAGCTGCTCCAGTTTTCCACTATAGGTACAAATTTATTTTGATAAAGTCTCACAGTGTTATACAGTAATATTTACTGATGACGTTTCGAGTATCATTAATTGTCACTCATAATCATATCAAGGCACTTAATCACACAACTTTCTAACTTCGTTTATAAAATTCCATTATTTTTCATCGCTTGATTTGATTGCTATTAGTATTTCTCATATTTTCGGTATGAGTGATGAGTCATTCCTACTGCACGTGCTGAAAGGAAACTCGATGATCAAGGATTTAGTAATCAACCTCTCTCACTACCTACACATACTACTTCTAAGAATTTTAACCCTCTCCCACCTTATTGTGTGGTTGATTACTGAATTGTTGTTCACAGAATCTACTCCCCACACGTGCAGTAGGAATGACTCATCAATCATACCGGAAATATGAAAAATACTAATAGCAATCAAATCAAGCGATGAAAAATAACGGAGTTAGAAAGTTGTGTGAGTAGCGTCTTGATATAATTATGAGTGATAATAAATTGTGCTCGAAACGTCATCGGTAGATATTACTGTATAACACTGTGAGACTATCAAAATAAATTTTACCCGAAATGGAACTATACTCTACCACAATGTACAAGTTCTGTTTTTATATCAATGCTCCAGTTTTATCATTTTAATGAATATCTTTACTGTCTGCTATGTGTTTATCTGTTTGATGCAATGCTGTAAAGGGAACTAACTCCTCAACAAGTGAACCGAATGCATAAGTTTTACAGATGAGACTGAGATATAACTGAGGTCCATGAATCATCTTACATTGGACTTCACATGACTAAATCTACAAATCTCGAACTATAAGGTAATTTTAAGTAGCCGTATTATTCACAACACAATATTTACTGATTTAGCAGAAGAAACCACGTTTCATTATACGTCTCCTGATGAGCTGAGCGCCAACTTTCGCTCTGGCAATTCTGAATAAAAGCAAATGATATAAACACTTATTTCAATTAATGCCCATTCACATACAAACTACCATTCTACACAGTACCTCAACTCACTTGACGATGGGTGGAGTCGAATGGCTGGCTGTATAAGAACACAACAACGGATGAGAATGTTTTCAGTCCCAATTTCATTTTGTGTTTGGCTTCACTTGAAAAAGCGATAAATTCATTTCAGCTCAAACTGACTAGTTGAAATAGGGGATTTTCCTCCTTTTTTTCCTTCACGTTCCTTAGTGGAAAATAGGACTTCAAGCTATTGGCTTGAAGTTTCTGTAGCAGTGTTTGTTTTTACAGGATGGGGTTGCTTGTGTGGATCAGAACTATGTCATATACGGTAATGATGATGATAATAATAATAATGGTAATCGTAAAAATTATTATTATATTCAACAAGATTTAGACTTTCTGATAAACTTATAGAACCCGAGAGGGAAACGGCGAGTTTGGAGTAAATCGGAAGGCTACATGGAGTAGGTCATGTGGGGAGATGAAACTTTGTGCGCAGTTGTGCAACCAGCTAAAAAGTAATACAGAGAAGAGGAAGAGATGGCGACGTGCTGCTGAATCTCTATGTCCCACTAAGAAATTAAAGGAATAAGAATAATTTCTGGAAGATTCTAACATACCAAAGCTCTACGTAACTTCAGTGTTAAATAAAGCAGAACTGACTACTTTGCATCTATTAACTGTTGGTTTGCAGGAATTTGATGGATTACAGGTTTGATCACCATTTGAGATCAGTTAGAGAACCATTAGAAAACTTGCGATTACTGGACAGCTGTTTTGTCGTGGTTTAGAACACTTCATCAGTACTCATCCGCAGGGGTTCGAATCCAGGACCTTCCTATTACAAGGCGAACTCGTAGACGATTCAGCCACTGGAACCCAATCCAATATCTCATGAGTTCCAACTTCTAACAATTAGTGATCTGCACAGCGTAACCGCCAGTTAATGTCGTAGGTCAGTAGCTGTTCTCTTACCTGACTAAGTGGACCACTCTGGTCACGACTTCTAACTTTTATCTCTATCAAGCGTCATAGATGACGATTAGAGATATTTGAACCTATCTTAAGCTGGATCGTGTAAAAAAACAAAAGAATAGCATGTCTGTAATAAGAGGTATAAACACAACTGAAATGATACACAAAGACCTAAATAACCACTTAAAGGTAATTAAATCTAAAATATTTCAGGAGTGTGAACACTAAGCACGGAAGCCTATGCATCAATCATAAATTGAGAAATACTCAGAAATTAGGATGCCAGATAAGTTAGGGAAATACTAATTAAAATTCTTAGATAGATATGATGAAGCATAACCGGTGCAGGGAACCTTCCACCTGTCTATACTTTTAGTGAACACAAAGACAATAATTCATATTATGATGACTTCTGGTTTTCGTCTGTATGAAACCTTAGGTAGAAGCAGATAGAATTTGTATCAACATACTCAGTACACAAATCATTCATTTTAAGAAAATAAGACTGAATCCTAACAGTTCATCAGCAATGCTCTGTTTGTCGAAACTTTATAGAAGAAGCATATTTCCAAACTCTAAGAAACTTGTTGCAACTTGGTGAGACTAATATTATTACTGCAAATTAGGAGTGTTTGTCAGGATTCATTCATAACTACCATTCTTTTTGTGAGACTTCTGTCTTTCCCTGTCATTTATTTTTCATTCCTTTGCATTTCAAATGAGAAGTATGGCTTCAAGATTCGGCTTTAAAGTTTTGAGGACAGTTTTCCGGGTTGAAGTTACTAGCCTCAGACCCAATCTCCCTTCTTTATGAGGTTTACTACTGGCTAAGTGAGGTTTAGAAGTGAGTCGACTGGGAATCGAACCCAAATCGCGCAAGTCATTATTGGCAAGCACTCTACCACCGCACCAATTCACAACGCACTTCACTGTCGTTACAGACAGTCAATACTAGAAGCAACCAGTTACCACACCTTTGAATGAAAAATTAAAAAGCGCGATCATGAAATACAAAATAAACTGGTTTAGTATAAACATAGATGACTAGTAGGCAGCATTAATAGGGAAAGCTGAGAAAAACTGAAGCTTTTGAACTTCGAAATGCACCGAGTAGAATTGAAAATGATGAGGTTTGACACATTTAATACTCCTTTACCTTTCTCAGTATTGTAGAATAACTCACTGTAAATTTCAGGTAACTTCTGTCTCTAATTGTTACTTTCTACAATCTAGTGAATGCAGTAACTTGCGGTGGGATCCAGGATGCACATTTTATCTTACTTTAGACTCGTCAGTTGGATGTATCTGCATTCCCAGTAGGTGATAGTATTCCCAAGTACATACTGCTGGTGAGTCGTAAAAGAGGTGAAACGCACATGTTGGACTCCACTGCTAGTCACTACCAGCCAAAATAACTCCACGCCAAGCTTTAGAAATCGTCAAATTTTCCGTACCAGGAGCCGATATGTCAGCAGAGACCGAGGATTTCGGTGAAATAATCAGTCAACGGGAAATGTAAATTAGACTGAAAAAACCCATTAGTACCGTCTGAATATCACTGCCTGAATAACCGAAGCTAGACTATTTCATGAATTAAGATAAACCATTGAGGTATAAAATTGTGACCAGTATCACATCACCTCAATCAATAAAAAGTAGGCTCAAGTTTTATTCATTCAGTAGTCAAGCCAACTACTCTTTAATGAAAGAAAATTTGATACTACAGATTAATTTTTTTGAAATCCCAAGTTGTGGTTTTACTTCTGCGCACGTTGAACATTTAAGTTAACAAATTTTTGTTTTAATTGATGGAAATATTAATTATCCAGTTGACTTCCTTTTTTCTTATTCAACCTTTAGGTCATTAAAATGTATGCGTAATACAATCCATTCACATTTATTCGTAGCACTTATGATCAAGGCATGCGCATGGTCAATTTCATATATATTCGTTGAATTTACAGATATTGAACAATTTACGGGTAATACAAGGTCAACAATAAATGTGAGTGACAGAAACATTCAATTTTCAATGTTTTGAATTTCTTTTTAATGTTAAATTGAGTTAAATGTTTATTTTGTCCGTCTATTCATTTTGAACCATAATTCATCTGCTGATTAATTCAGATATAAATGAATCTAGTTAATTCATTATCAAATTTATTATTTTAATGACCAGTGATTGACAAATTTAAGGACAGCAGAACTATGAACACAATACATTGAATATAAGTGAAAATTCAAAAGCAATTATATTCATATGACAACTTCTGGAATGAGTTCCTACATTCTCATACTTCCTAGTAGTCAATATGAGCAGTTATCTGGAAACATAAAGATGTCTGTCCGTTTAACGATATGTGAGTCTGTTTCGTTAAACTCCTCATTCAGAGATTAAGAGCTAAGCTACCAGGTAGTAAAAAGAATGGGCACAGTGATTTCTATCCTCGACTGTGCTGCAAAACTGTTCTCTATCGTTCCCTAGATAAAAATTTGCTTAATTGATGAAATAAGGGAAATTATTCATGATGGTTATCGCTTGACCTGGCACTGAGATGTACACATTCAGTAAAATAGTGTAAAACTAATCGGGAAGAAACTATTGCAATCATCCATTGTGCTTGAATTTTCTTTCTTCCTGTGATGTGAATTGCAGCAAATTTGGTTGCTGTATAGCTATTCCAACCAGCTGAAGAAGCAGTGAAGACAGGACTTCTAGTGAATATAGAGAAAATAGAGATGATGAAAATGACCAACCAACAACAACCAGCATCAATCACCATCAACGGGAGAGATTTAACAGAGATTACCCCCTTCACTTATCTAGGCAGCATCGTTTCAACCACAGGTGGAGCAGATGAAGATGTCACAGCCAGAATCGGAAAGGCAAGAAACACCTTCATCACTCTGAAGTCAGTTTGCAAATCCTCTACCCTCACTCAGCATAAAGAACAAGTTTCGGATTTTCAACATCAATTTTAAGTCATACAGTTCTACTATATGGGTCGGAAACTTGCAGTGCTTACCACGAATAGCATTTTCAACAGGTTGCAGTCTTTTATTAATACCTTGCCTTCGCTATGTATTCAAGTTCAGATGGTCGGAAAGAATTGGCAACAAGGAACCATGGCAACAAACTGACCAAGAACCAACCATTCAACAAATAGATAGAAAGTGGAGATGGGTCAGGTATAATTTGAAGAGGCCGTCGAGTGACATCGCGCTCCAGATCACCGCTTGAGTGGAATCCGAATGAGAAACGACAAGTGGGTCTTCCGAGAATGACATGGAGGAGATCGTGTAACGAGAATATGAGAGATTACGGGCAATCATGGGGCCAGCTAAAGAGGATAACAGAAAATATAATAAAGTGGAGACGTGTTGTTGAAGCCCTATGTTTCACTCGGGACCCAAGGGAACAATAATAATAATAATAGCTATTCCAAATCTTGTGTGGAATTTATGTTTGTCCATCTGATTTCTTTAAAGCCAAGAGGTCTAATGCCTTTTTTCATGTCCAGCTTTCTGACTGAAACATAGGGTTTCAAGCCCTATATTTTGTTAGCAGTAGTTTTATTTTCATGGGGTGATATTTCTAGTCTTACACAACCTTTGCTGTCTTCCGGATTCACTGTCAGCTAATAAACTAGGCAACATTTAGGAGTGCATTTACCGGAAACCGAACCTGGAATCCCTGAGTGACTGGCAAACATTCTACCAGTTAACCGTTGATACGTATCATAATACCTAACGAGAATTTAATAAAATACTTGATAAACAAAGCATCTTCATCATGGCTGATATTTGTATTTTATCGACTATCTCAACCCAGTCTCAATTACCAGCCTTTTAAATCACATTGCAATCGCACAGTTGACTACCTGTTCTTCTTATCAGTATACCAGATTAGTTCATTTGATACTACTGTATCATCTGTGACATTGACTGGATGGTTCCCAGGATTTGGATAACCTTTCTAGCTAGGGTTAGCTTCAGCTGTGACTGTAAACTGTGAGAAAAATTTATAATTATCCAGGTGATACAAATAAAACAGCCTTTTTAAATTATTTTATTTAAGAACACCACCGATAAGCTCAATTCCAAATAGCAGAAATAAGTATCCAGTTGACAAGTCATTGAAATTCGAATTGTGAAAACTGTAGATCACATTCTGTGTATATTTGCGTGTGTTATTTCCAACCATTCATGTATGTGTTTTAAGTTTGATCACCGATTGATATCAGTTTACGAACCACTGAAAACTAGGAAGTACTGCACAGTTTTGTTCCAGTTTAAGACTCTTCAATAGTACATACCCACGACCCCAAAAAGGAACGAACCCGGGAACTTCAGGTTACGAGACCAAACCTGTTAACCATTCATCCCGCCTAGGTGGGATTCAATTGCCTGTGAAAATGAACTTCTGTGGTTTCACAATGCTGACTAGTGACTAACTACAGGACGAAGGTATCTGGGGCTCCTGTAAGAAGTTGTCAACAGTAGGGTCCACCCGGTTGGATATGAGGTCATATACTCTAGGATGACATTGTCTAATGGCGGTACTAACATTTGCGAATCGATAGCAATTAGAATCAACCGATCACTGAATTCCACCCCGTTCGCATGAGTGGTCAGCGAGATTAATATCGTAACCAGGAAATCTTGGGTTAGATCTCCGGCTAGGTCTCGGGTGCGCACATAAGAATAAAACGACTACAGAAGCCTAAAATCCTGCTTGGTTTACTTCTTTTTGGAAAGAGACTTAAAAAATGTTCAAGATATAATTCATTAATATTCTTGACACAAGAAGCATACTTAAAATGCGTGTTCAGCATGTTAGATTAGTCAGGATACCACCGGAACTTCAATGAATTCTTCTGTCACTTTTGTTCACATTCGTATGTAGGGGACTAATATTAGAGTTCACTAACATTCCAAGTATAAAAGTAATAATCCAAGTCAGTGGAGTGTTAAATCACAATATATTACCAAAAATACAGTGACGAGTTATAGCAACAAAAAGGATTACTTGAAGATAACGTCTAAGTCCTCGGCTACAAATTAATTATATAATCCACGGGCACGTTAATTGTTTGGACTGCGTCTGCTGTAGCTGCTGTGTTCCGGTTGTAGAAATGTCTTCGGTTGAGAGTAGTAGGCTCCTACAATAAATCCGAAGTATACAACACGGTGTGAGTGGAGCAAGTAAGCAGAAGTGACCAGGGAGAAGACGAAGTCTCCAACAGCAGAGTGTATTTTTCAATTGTACACGGAAGTTATGTATATTTCAACAAGAAGCGTTTTAAACAAAAATTATGTACAATATCTCGAATTTATACAAGTAACCAAAAAGTGTACAATCACATTGTTACGTACTCAACACGTATCTCACCGTCCTGCTGCTTCATTTCTCAGCAGCAGCTGACATGATATTTTAAAAAGTCAACGAAATTATGGCAGAGTTTTTAACCAATAACCGCAAGTGTAATTCACTTCTTTATCAGCCACATGCTTGAGATACTGAGTAATTAGTTTCAGTTCCGTAGTCTACCGAAGGAAAGAAAGCTTAATGAGGAAAAGCGAAGTTTCTACTTCTGTGGTTTCTCCATGTTTGATAACCTCCTCCACCATTCTGAATGATTTACCGTTAGGCAAATCAATAAGTGAATTAATCTTTGGAGGGCCCTTGGTGTGTTCAAGGCATCAATAGGGTACCACGATTATCTGAATCCCTTTTAGACCAGACAGACAGACAGACACCTTAAAATTAAAGTGATGTATATGTAAAATCTCAAACCATCAATACATTCACCGGCAACCGTAGCTCCAATTATTCTTCTTTGTTATCATTACTGAGTATTATATCGTGCTGCACAATAAGCTGCTAAATAACAGGCACAAAATAGACATAAAATATTTCGCAACAGACGAGAGTCCTAAATTGAACATACGGGTGAATTCCCGCAATGGGTTAATAGACTTTGACTTTATCGCATATCAAATAAACAGACATGAAAATCAGCAAATGCGAATGAAGGACACCCTCACAACACCTTGAAATGGTATCCCAAAACGAATCATTAAAGATAAAACTTCACATAACAGACTAATAACTAGTTAGAAAGAAAAAGTAAGCGCTAAAGATAAAGAAATACGTGTATTATCGAAAAGCGTTGATCATTTGAAATAACCACTTTCAACCGAAAAACCTCAAGTGAAGAAAATTATGGCAGTGGAGTTAAACAAAACACAAGCCATTACATTATAGGAAAAATAACAAATCAACTGTGACTGTCAAAAATGAAAACCGATACCACGAGAAAACAGCTCAACAAAGACGACAAAGCCTGATATCGACACTAAAATTAACACCGGTTAACACGACGACAGGCAAACAGTTTCAGAACGAAGCCCGATCGAAACAGGCAAGTTCGCCTAAATTAAACACTGGAATCCAAAGATTAAAATTCAGTGAAAGAATTCTAACATCTCAAATGTCTCCACGAGCACCATGTCATATTCACACACTTCAATGAAATTCCACCTCCTAACACTCACAAACCGGTAAAAGTTCTCGTTAGATTTCTGCTCCTCAGGATAATTACTACTACACAGTCTATCTGACCCCTCATCAAAAGGATTCCGTCTGAATACTACATTTCCTAGCAGAATTTCAAAATAACACTCAAAATCATAATTTACACTGACCACTCAATTTGAACTGTATTCAGTTAATATGTCTACGCATAAGTGATTGGAACGAGCACTATCAATGACAAATGTCAAATGTGAAGAAGGCACATCCACCCCTCGTATTCACATGGCTTGAACACTCATCAAAATCCAGTCAAATATTTCTTCTGCTCTCCAATATCGATTTCCCTCATTTTAGTATCATTCTATTTTATCTCACTCGCTGTGTGTGTGTGTGCTCGAAAAGTGCTGTCTCGAAGTGGTTCACTTTTCCACAAGGTTCTACCTTCGTCTTTCAGTTTGCACTTCTAT